GGGCAATAATAAACATTATATCAAGATATCCTTGCTACCAAGAGAAAGCTTGTTGTGTTGCATTTAATGTTGATCTCCAGCATTTAGGAAGGATTATCCCATGGTAATGGAGCAATCAGCCAAGTTCTGTTGATATCCCTGTCTGGCAGATATCTTACACAACGATGAGAAATACCTTACAGACTGCAAGGTATTTAGAGCAGTCTTTCCATTCTATAAAGAGCTTGGAATTAATTGGGTATAGTCTTCTTTACACCCTTAAAAGCGCCAAAGAATATGGTTGGCAGAACCTCAACATTTCTACATGGATCATCCAAAGCAGGGGTTCCCAACCCAGTCCTCAGGTACCACCTACCAGTCCAGGATTTAGGCATTACCCTGTTGTGTCTAAAGTGTGTTTTGTTTTTCCTTTTCTAAAAACTCCTTAGACAACTGTGTAATCCCTGAATCCTGGACTGGTTGGGGGTACGTGAGGACTGGGTTGGAAACCACTGGTCCAAAGCATTAATCTTTTAAAGAAACACTCCAGACCTCAAAGCACTTTAACTTGCTAAAATGTCTGAAGAGTATGTCCTCTTTTTCATGTAACAAAAAGTTCAGATTTCAAAAGAAATGAGCACTTTTATAAATGTACCTTGTTACAATCCCCCAGCTGTCAGACAGGAGGTATTGTTACTTTCTGGTATTTTAGCTCAGTGGTGCTAAACTCAAGAGCAAAGGCTTCTAAATGAGCCGAAACACAGCTCAATCTGTATTTGTACAGCCACAGAAAGACCGTGCTTTGGAAGATATAGAGGGCTTGAAGTAGTTGCAGCTACTAAGTCTCTAGCTTTTGAAATCCAAAAATTAATTTACATCTGTCACGAGCGTGGGCTATAGGCCCAGCAGACACAGTGGGGAGAGTGTGGAAGTGACAGGGTTAATGACACCAGACCCCTGGTTACCTATTGCTAGTCCCAGCAACCACTCAATTAACCCCTGCAATCCCCTCTACACTAACCCCCTAGTACACACTTTACTGCCACCACCAAGACTTTAAACCCGGGTGTCTTAGGTTACCCCACACACAGGAGAATTATAGAATCACAGTTCTACTTTTACTGATCAAACACATATAATTAACCCTTTTTGATAACGTGTTTACCTGAGCTTTCCTCTGGAGAGTGAAGCTCATAGAGAACAGAGACACAAGCTGATTAAGTAAACATTTAATCTGACAAAAACGATCCAAAGTGCGGAGTACAAAATACAGAAATAAAGGACATACAGATAAATTGCAAAACAGAACATAAATTAAAATAGGAGAAAACACAAGAAATTCCTTACATATATTTTCCCCATATAGAATTCTTGTGGGAGTCTTAGATGGTATAGGTCTCTTAGAAGTTGCTGACCAAAGAAGGGGGTCGGTCTGGCAGTTTAGTGCCCACTCTATGCAATTCCCTGTGTCCAGCTCTGGTGATGGCTATCTAGATGTTTTATGGTCTAGGCCTGATGCAAGATCAAAGACCACAATAAATGTCATCCCAAGGTTTACAAAAAAAACAACTCTTAACATATATAAACACACATCAAACACCAACTCGTGCTTTTTGGCATGACAACATCCAAAGAATACTTGCAAAAAAATTAAGAAATAAATAACATGCATATTTTTTTTGGGAGGGGTATATCTAGTAAATTGTTGTTTTAATGGAGTATTAATGAGGATTGCGCATTTGGATTCACCAAGTGAGGCAACTAACGGTTCCAGTAATACGGCCCCTTAACAAAACCCTAAGTAGACCTACAGTGAGGGGGAAAAAATGGTCAGTCTATAATTTTAATGATTGGTGTATTTTAACATTGAGAGACAGAATAACAAGAAAAATCCAGAAAAACACATGTCAAGAAAGTTATAAATTGATTTGCATGTCAATGAGTGAAATAAATATTTGACCCCTTTGCTTTAGCCCTTGGTGGCAAAACCCTTGCTGGCAATCACAGAGGTCAGACGTTTCTTGTAGTTGGCCACCAGGTTTGCACACATCTCAGGAGGGATTTTGTCCCACTCCTCTTTGCAGATCCTCTCCAAATCATTAAGGTTTTGAGGCTGACGTTTGGCAACTCAAACCTTTAGTTCCCTTCACAGATTTTCATTGGGATTAAGGTCGGGAGACTGGCTAGGTCACTCCAGGACCTTAATGTGCTTCTTCTTGAGCCACTCCTTTGTTGCCTTGGCTGTGTGTTTTGGGTCATTGTCATGCTGGAATACCCATCCACGACCCATTTTAATGCACTGGCTGACGGAACGAGGCTCTCACCCAAGATTTGACGGTCCATCGTCCCTTTGATGCAGTGCAGTTGTTCTGTCCCCTTAGCAGAAAAACACCCCCAAAGTGTTTCCACCTCCATATTTGACGGAGGGGATGATATTCTTGGTGTCATAGGCAGCATTCCTCCTCTTCCAAACACGTCAAGTTGAGTTGATGCCAAAGAGCTCAATTTTGGTCTCATCTGGCCACAACACTTTCACCCGGTTCTCCTCTGAATCATTCAGATGTTTATTGGCGAACTTCAGATGGGCATGTACATGCGCTTTTTTGAGCAGGGGGACCTTGCTGGCGCTGCAGGATTTCAGTCCTTCATGGCGTAGTGTGTTACCAATTGTTTTTTTGGTGACTATGGTCCCAGCTGCCTTGAGATCATTAACAAGATCCTCCAGTGTAGTTCTGGGATGATTCCTCACCGTTCTCATTATCATTGAAACTCCACGAGGTGAGATCTTGCATGGAGCACCAGACTGAGGGAGACTGACAGTTATTTTGTGTTTCTTTCATTTGTAAATAATCACACTAACTGTTGTCCCCTTCTCATCAAGCTGCTTGGCGATGGTCTTGTAGCCCATTCCAGCCTTTTGTAGGTCTACAATCTTGTCCCTGACATCATTGGACAGCTCTTTGGTCTTGGCCATGGTGGAAAATTTGGAATCTGATTGATTGCTTCTGTGGACAGGTGTCTTTTATACAGGTAACGAGCTGAGATTAGGAGCTCATTACCTGTATAAAAAGACACTTGGGAGCCAGAAATCTTGCTGATTGATAGGGGATCAACTGCTTCTCTCACTTATTGACATGCAAATCAATTTATAACTTTTTTGACATGCGTTTTTATGGATTTTTAAAATTTTTATTTTGGCTCTCACTTTTTTTTTTATGATTCTTTATTTTGCAACGGTATTGAGTAGACAATGTACAAGGTTCGACCCGTGCAAGAGCCCATTAGTTTTCCAGGTGCTAACATTCACATATAAGTACATTACAAGATATGTTCCGGATTCGTTATGTTTAGACTGCATTGCTACTTTCGTCCGTTGTCTTCTTTCAAACGAATAACAGATAAATACTATACAACAAAAATGGAAAAAACTGAGGGCCGGGGTACCGGTTGTCTCGGCCCAACTGTGGTGGTTGGGGGGGAGAGGGGAGGATGGGTGTGGGGGGTGGGGTCGTACTTCGGTCTGTCGGTCATATTTGTATGTCCCGTCGGCTACCCTGCCTTTATCGGTCACTGTACGTTTCCCAGGGTTCCCATGTCCCGGAGAAGGCCTTGGAGGAGCCTCGGATTTGGGCCGTGAGTTTGTCCATGAGATGGCATTCTTTGATCTTGTTGATCACTATTGCTACTGAGGGGGTGTCTTGTTGTAGCCAAGTTTGGGCTACTGCTCTCCTGGCCGCTAGAGCTATTTTATTAAGGAGTTGTTGGTTTGGTTTGGGCCAGTCCTTTTGGGGTCTGGCTAGTAGGAATGTTGGCTCTCACTTTTAAAATACACCTACCATTAAAATTATAGACTGATCATTTCTTTGTCAGTGGACACATGTTCAAAATCAGCAGGGGATCAAAGGCTTTTTTTCCCCTCACTGTAATCTGAACACCATCCTTCAATTAGTCACTTATATTCATGCAATGATTTCAGATAGGACTTACAGGTAAAACAAACAGTTTAGAGTAAAATAAATACACTTGATGGAGGGGGTATTTTGGAGATGTATGGAAATTAATTTAGCTAAAACAGAGCAAATACCCCCTCCCCTGCACACAAGATTTTGAATTCGCTATTTATTTTTGTAATCTCCAAGGCTAGAGAGGTAGAAAATGGATGGCAGTTACTGTAGCCATGGGGACCACCACCACCAAACTCACTTCCATACTTCTTCTCGGGTACCCTCTTATAATATGACACATGCTTACAGGGAAAATAAAAGCGATCTACAACACCAGCGTTCAGAACTACAATTTTCTCTAGTACACCAAGTATGACATCATTGGACAGCTCTTTGGTCTTGGCCATGGTGGAAAATTTGGAATCTGATTGATTGCTTCTGTGGACAGGTGTCTTTTATACAGGTAACGAGCTGAGATTAGGAGCTCATTACCTGTATAAAAAGGCACTTGGGAGCCAGAAAAACAATACCCAATAGCATTAGTAAAACCAGGAAACACTTAGTATTGGTCAGGGGATCTGATTGCAAACTGCAATGGATTAATTTACTGATGATGTTGTGGGTACCTCATTTGTTAACTATGGCCTTGTTCTTACAAGTTAGATTATTTTGGTCATCCAGAAGTAGTGAGAGTTTGAAACCATGGCCAATAAATGTGTTTTAGCCACTTGTTAAACAGCTCGTTATATTGCTACTGTCCATAAAGTATATACCTTATTTAGACTTCATTTAATTATTGAGTTTTATAAGTAAAGTCACTTCTGCCTCATTATAGATTTTTTTCATTTACACGGACATTGGCAAGGGGAATTGTTAATTTAGCCCTTGAGTTTACATTTTAACGGTCATTACAAGTGTAGTAAAAATCTCTCTTATTTACACTGTACACAGGGTGTGGGAGAGAACACAGATAGTGAGTTGTTGTCTCAGACTGGTTTTCCGGGTGGAGCCATTTCAAATCAGAACTTTTGCAATTAGGTAAAAAGCGGAAATGTCACGTCAAGACCTTTAACAACAGCCTGCGTAACACAAAAAGACAAGATACCAGGTGAGAGGTGTGCCCATGCGGCATTTATTAGGAGGGGGTGGACATTTGGAATGAAATGCCTATCTCAATCAATCAGCCATACATTAGACATAAATTACAATCTGTGTTAAAATGACTAATTATTGACATCTGCGGCGCCATCCTTGTGTAACTGTGTTTTAATTTTAAAGTTCAGTAAAGGAATGTGGTTTCCACAGGTGTATCCTGCCCATTGTTGGCCAGAATGAAGTCATTCGAAAAGAGGAATTTCAGAAACTTTACTATGAGCTATCATGGGTGGTTCCCCTGTGCGTTCAGGAAGGAAATACTACGTTGCTCGTAGACAAAGAAAATGTTGAAAAAAAAAAAAAAGTTCACAGCTTCATACCAGATAAAAGAATAGCCCATATTATTAGAATGAAATGTTGCTAAAATACAAAACTTTTGGAAGAAAACAACAAATAACTGCTTGACTTACTGCTGGACTCCCTGTGCCACTAGGTCACAGAGGCAAGGTAGAAGGAAGGGGGGATATAAGCAGAAGAACACAAGTAAACAAAAAGGGCACTCCACCCAAAATAAACATTAACCCTCAGTGCTAACATACCTCTAGATTTACACGTACAGCCTTACAACCCGATTAGAAAAGTAAGAGGTGTCTAAATCTATTGGCATATTAAAACCCATAAAGGGTCACTATCATCAGCAGACCCATTACAGCTTAATGTTGTGGTTTTGGGGCAAATAGACTCGGCATTGTAAATGCTGTATAAATGGAGATGCTGAACTCTCCACAGAGGTGTAGGGGCACACGTCGCATGGCAATATGAGAACAAAAGCATTATCTGTTTCTCCTCTTCTCTATACTACCTGTCAGGTGCAAAGGACAAAACCAAGACTGAGGTTCTCTGTTCCAGGGGAGAAGTAGCTTCAACGTTATGGCCTTTATGTAGGTTTCCATTTTAATTTTCAGACCCATATTTGTTAAATATAGGAGGATAAGAATTTTTTTTTTTTTTTAATGTAAAATCCTAATTTTCTTGTTTATTGTGTGTCCTTAAATTCTTGCAATTAGTAGACCTTCCAGTAGGAAAACGGACATTGGTCTCAGATTTTGTTAATCCTTTGCCCAAGTCCTCACCATAACAACTTTAAGATGTCCTGTACAAACTACACTCTTAGGGATAGTTACTATAAGACACAGGCTCATGTGACACATGGCTGTACGCGGATATAGATGCACTCGTAAAAAGGCCATCATTTCCAAGCACTTCAAGAAATTGATGTACTCAAATGTGCGTTGCCAAGTGAACAAAAGGCCAAAACACAGCAGAACTAGAAAGATTTTCAAAATGTCCCCCTCTCACACCTTGGGTACATTTTGCATTATGACTGAATTCACCATTTAGTGATTAACCCCTATTAAACTTTTATATGTGGTTTGCTACTGCTGCACACAAACATTTTGTTTCTGCATAGACTATAAACTATCTGCCAAAGGTGACTTTGGAACAATGTGATAAAGGAACACCTAGTAACTATTTATCTATTGAGTTTGTAAATGCAACAGCAACAGCTTCCTGTTGAAGGCAGACAGTCTGTTTCTGACTTAAATGCCCACTTTCTAGTAGCTCAGACTGTTATGGGTGTGTATTTTAGTGATAACAACATTAACATGCAGAGCGTAGAGCATTAAAACTCACCACAATGTATGCATTAAGCTGTACAAATAATATACGTCAATATTGGTCTACAAAATGTATATAATATTTATTTTTTTTGAGTCTAATCGGGAGGGCATGATGCATGAAAAATAAAATAAAAATAATTATATCATTGACAGCTGGTCCTATAGCAACATTACCCTAAATCACGATAGTTTATCAAAAAATGAGCGATGAATAAAAATCTTTAAAAACAAAAACAAAAAAAAAAACATTAATTAAAATCTCCAACTTGTGGCCTGAATTTGAAATATCTTTTTTAGTTTCTTGACAATTCAAAATGTATTAAATGACGCCCACAAATGTTTTTGTGGTCTGTGAGGTTTTTATTGGGGTATACCTCAATCCTGGGATTTCCAGACAAATTGCTGGAGGTACCTCTGCAGTAACTATTTCAAGTGCTTCAAAAAGGAACCTGTTGAGGTTTAAAGTCATACAAATGCCAGCCCCACTGGGGGAGCAGAAGAAGCTGGCCTAATGCTTGTATTAATGTACTAGTAATCTAGGGCTGCTACCTTTAGCAAACATAGAAACTTGGAGGAGACATTAAGGAAATCGACTTATCACAGTGAAAAGATAGCTCGGCTGCTGTATAGTACAATAATGGGAGTTATTAAGGCTTGGTTCCAAACCTGAATGAACTTTGGCAGCAAACTAGAGGTTGCAGTAAATGAAGGGAACCTGGCACGATGCTTGTTCTAAACCATGCAGCAGTTTCCGCTGACTTATGTAAAATTGCATTAATTCAACGTCTACACATGCAACCTTTGGAATTCCAACCTGTGTGCTCAAGGACTGAACATTCTAGTGGTTTGAATTCTGGGTAGCATGCCTACCAAAGCACACACACTGACCAAACCAAATATCTCTCAAGCAATGCGAACCCACATAGGTTACAGCGAATGAACCCAGACAGAATTTAAATCATCCCTTATAAATTCACCCATTGAGAATAAATATTGAATATTAAACCTAACTACTTATATTCAGGCTCCTAACTATTACTCACATGTTGCTCTGCCAGCCCTGATTGACATTTGGAGCATAAAATGGTGCCTTTATTTTCATGGGAACTGCAGGTATTTATACCAGAACTACAAAAGACACTTATTCTAGGCCAGGGGTGCCCAACAGATAGATTCTCCAGAGGTTTTAAAACTACAGCTTCCATGAAAGGCCTGCAAAGCACCATGGGTGATGTAGTTCTACAACATCTGGGGATCTACCTTTTGGGTACCCCTGGGTACCCCTGTTCCAGACAGAATTTAAATGATCCTTTATATCCCGGATGCGATGGGTTATATAAACATAGCCACGCATCCGCCCCTTTCTTACGCAAGATGCTACTAAGGAGCTTGTCCATGCTCTAGTAATCTAAGCATGGATTATTGTAACTCTCTCTTAACAGGTCTTTCCAGAAGTCATATTGACTCGCTACAGTCTGTAATGAATGCTGCAGCTAGACTGATTTTCCTCTCCTGTTGCTGCTCTCAAACCTCTCCCCTCTGTCAGTCCTTTCATTGGCTTCCTGTATCCTATATGAGTCAATTCAAGGTACTAATCCACACCTATAAAGCACTGACCAATTCTAGCCCCTCCTACATCTCTTCACTGATCTGCAGGTATGCCCCTTCTCAGTCTCTCCGTTCTGCCCATGACCTTCTCCTGTCCGCTGCTCACACCCGTACGGCCTACTCACGCTTGCAGGACTTCTTGCAGGTGGCTCCTTTCCTTTGAAATAGCTTGCCTACAATGATCAAGCTCTCTCCTAGTCTTCAATCATTTAAAAAGTGCCTCAAAACCCATCTCTTAAGGAAAGCTTATGGCCTCCCAGAGTAACCTCTACCTCACATACCTGTCTCTTGCTCTCTCCTAAAGGGCAGCACTCTATTCTCTCCTCCAGCACGGATTCACTCCACCTTGTTTGATTGCTACCTCCTGTCCTGTTGTGTTTTACGCCCCACCTCCTATAGACTGTAAGCTCGTTTGAGCAGGGTCCTCTTCAACCTATCGTTCCTGTAAGTTTTTGCAATTGTCTCATTTATTGTTAAATCTCCCCCTTTGATAATATTGTAAAGCGCCATGGACTGTGCTGGCGCTATATAAATACCAGTAATAATAAATAATAATAATAATAATAATAATAATAATAATAGGCAATACAAATATTACATTTATACTTTTTAAGTTATATTAAAATCATGCCTAGGTTGAAATATATTTTTGGAATTTTTATTTTGTTTTACATGTTTATTTAGTTTGTAATAAAAGCAATTAGACTGTAAATTATTAGTGCAGTTTCATAAGTGCCCACGCAGAGGCTAATGAAGTCAGCAGAAAACATATTTATATATCAATAAGGAGAAAGCATAAAGAAATATAACAGCTTCCAATAATCATATATCGAATTAGGTTGATCGTGTATTCTAATGCAGGCGTCTGAGTAAGCATATTTGTACCCGAGTAATATATTATCTAATTGAGTGTTTAGTTAGGATGTGCAACGTTAGGTCAGTGGTGTATCCTGGTTTTGTGCTGCCCTAGGCAGGACAAAACTCAGGCACCAGCGCCATCCTCACCCAACCCTTCCACCCTGCCCCGCCTTCTAAATACAAACACACACATTCACTGAAAGATACGCATACACTAGCTAACAGACACACACACACACACACACACACACACACACTCACATTAACACACTCACTTTTCTTCTTAATTTACCCCCCCCGCCTCCTTACCTTTGGGAATGTTGGGGGGGGGGTTCTTTCTCCCTGGGGTTTAGTGGGGCTACTGGGCAGGTGGCGCTGGCGAGGGAGCACTTTCCCCTGAGCTGTCTGCTCAGCTCCCTTGCGCACCGCAAAGTGATGCTGGTCACCTGAAGCCGGAATATGACGTCATATTCTGGCTCCCAGCATCACCCTGCGGCGCGCGAGGGAGCTGAGCAGACAGCTCAGGGGAAAGTGCTCACTCGCCAGTGCCGCCCGCCTGGCTTGTCAGTTAGCCACAAGGCTAACAAGACATTTGCCCTGGGCATTTGGGGCGGCTTTTTTTGCCATCTCCTGGAAAATGCCGCCCAAGGCAAATGCCTTGTTTGCCTCGTGGCTAAAACGTCCCTGCGTTAGGTTACTTATGCGTAAGTGGAAGAATTTTTATTTTGTATGTGTGGAGTTACGTAGGAATAAAGGACACTTTTAGAAATCACACAAATGCTTTAACACAGCTTTGACTGGAAGCCATTCATAGTTGTTATAATTTATGTAGTGCCAACAAATTCCGCAGCGCTGTACAATGGATTTTGTACTGTAATTGCAAAATATAGGCCACAAATTACTTGAAATAGTAAAACATTCTTCAATGCAGTCATTTTCCAGCTGAAATTGTGGCCTAAATGTGTAATTTATAGTTTAGTGAATTAATGCTCCTCTTTGGCAGTTTTCCAGAAATGATTTGGCCATGGGGAGGATGCAGATGAAAATATTGTGAAATAGGCGGTTTCCTAATGTATGGCTCAGAATGAAAGTGTTTTGAAATTCCAGCACAGCCCATTATCTGCTAAGTGCCTTAATTTGTATAGAAATATTCATATATGATTCTTAAAAAAGGGAAATTGACGCAGCTCCTATCAGATGCTATGCTGCACATTTGGGTTAAGTCACAATAGAAAAAAAAAAAAAACAGAACACAAACAAAACAAAACTATAATCACACACAAAAGCACTCTGCTATAGTTTCAGCATGGTTATTTTAATCCGAATTTTGCAAGTTGATTTTTAACTTACTGCAGTATTGGCTCTTTTTTTTTTTTTTCAATTCGTCATTTATTGAAAAAGTTTTGGTATGTGTGGTACAGAAAAGAAATGGGGAAATGGTGGAACATGTGCAAATCAAGCATTTCGATCTGCAGTAATAGAGATTACACGCTAATTGGCAATCCATACATGAAGGTCAAGGCAACAGAGCCGTTTGCATTAGCGGTAGGTCCAGTAGGTTAGAACCTTACTGGGTACTCGCACTCTGGATTTTATTCGTGGGGGCCAGCATTACTGAAGCCCTGCGGAGGTAGGGTAGTATGGTTTGGGCGGTTACGACCCATTTGTAACAAAACACACAAGTTTGCTGAAACAATCACCCAATATTCAACATTTAATCTAGCCCTGTGTCGCAAACTCATTTCATCCCCTCTAGATTGCACATCAAATAGGTGGGGATACGTCAGAACTCGAACATTCATATAACCATCATTGATGTCCACATATGTCTGTGTCTACTTAGAAGGCTGTGGACGGGATACGCTATATAGGTGATAACATGTTCTGTGACGTGTGGTTAAGCCACCGTTGCCAGCTGTGGTGAGTGGAAGCTATTTGTTTGGGTGTTGCTGCTGTTAGCATTCATTCCAATTGTCGTATCTTACGACATAACTGCGGAGGAGAAGGGCACACAGTTTGTTTCCAGTGGCCAGCGATCAGATTGCGTGCAGCCAGGATTATTATTACCAGTAAATGCCTGTCCGAAGGAGGGACATTAATAGGGGAGTATTGACTTTTTTAAACACCTATTTTCTGTTTATCATTAGAGATGTCGCGAACCGTCCTTCTCTGGGAGGGAGGGTCTGCTGGAGATTGGCCGGGATGTGTCAGCTGACCGGAGTTCGCCGTGAACAGCTCGTGGCGAACCGTTCGCGAGAAGTTCGCGGACGGTTCGCGACATCTCTATTTATCATGAGACAAAAGTGCTTTTGGTGATCACACCTACGATAGTACCATTGTTCTACTACAATAAATATAAACAAAAATACATTGCTCCCCTCATTGGGTACAGAAAGGCCTAACAATAATGGCAGTGCTTTTCAGGAAAGCTCCAAAATTAATTTTATTTAGACCAGACATGATAATGTCACAATGGACAGATTTGAAAACCATGCATGGTTTGCACGCATGCATATCATACGTAGGCCCAGAGGAGTTCAATTCATAAAAGTACATTTTCTGGATTGTTTAGGGAAATGTTTCTTTCTGCCCTGTATATACTTTTTTGAGGAGGCAGTGGAAGACGTACACACAAAATATTACCCTGCTACGACAGATCTGTAGAATTTATACCCATATCTCCCAACATGTCAAATGGGCAGAAAGTGACATTTATTTTAGGGAGGGCTGCCTAGATGGGGCAGTGCCAGCATATTATAGAAACCCTTGTGATCTTTAGTGCTACTGAAAATGTAACCCGACCAAAGTAGCTTATTTACACATTTATTTCTAAATACATTTATTACATCTTAAATACATATCACTGTGAGTTTTAAAGTTCCGAGACTGTTAAACACCCAGACATCCTAACAATATGGAGCTCCTAAAAGAGGGGGGCATTAGGATAAACGAGAGAGAGAAAGTTATTTGAACTAAACTAGGGACTGAGCATCATAAATAGGGACACTTGGGAAGTATGCATATCTCTTATCCCCCTAAGCCACTTAAGTCTTGAAACAATGAGACGTAGTCAGAAGTGCTATGCAGAGGTGTGTGCCTGCCTACGTAGCTTTAATAATAGGCTTCACTGCTGTGACTCAGTACTCGACATAATTATATTAATTGTGCAGGCCCAAGCATATTCTGTAATTGCAGTACTTGCAGGAAGCCCAGCATGTCCGGGGTCATGTATTAAATAGTGTTAATGGTGAGGACTTTGGTTTGGGTGCCAGCTGGCGTGCATTGACTTGAGGTTAAGCTATAAGTTACGATACTACAGGGTGTGTGTGATTTGTGGTGGGTAAAGATAGGTGGGGAGCACACGACAAGCTATAGAAGGACACATTGGGAGGATTGCTAATTAAAGTTGAGAAGAGATCAGGGCTGCTCTGGGTTGGTACCAGAAAGACTTTTTGAGTCAGTGCATCCACACCCACCACCTGTACTCTGTGCAGGACAGAATTCTTTAACTTTTAATTTTTTTTTTTTTTATTATTACATTTATTTTTAGAGGAGGACTTCACCCCTCCCAGGCACAAGACTTTGAGTAGGAGTTTTCTCATATTCTCCAACTGCACCTTATCAGAAGTATCCAAGGTAAAGGATTGTTAATGAATGTGTCTTAAACTTAGGACTGCATCCCAAATCCCCTATCCATTCGTCAAGACACACATTGCTTTAGCAAATGCTCTTGATTAAAGTTAAAAATTCCTCCAAATCATTTCCTTTACACAAAACCCAATTAAATAAGCCTGTAAATTTCAGGGTATTTCCCCAAAGGCCACCAACAAACATTATCACATTTCATAGACACAGATCAACCTCATAAGTTTATCCAGGTGGTCCTCACTTTACTACCAACTCTCTAGCATGGGAATTCAAAGGAATTTTTCATGAACATAGATTAGAGGGATTCCCTGCTCTTCTGCGCTTGTCTATGTTTGGGGAAATTTACCCGAACATAGACCTCACTTACTGACCAATTCGTTTTACGACCTGAGTATCTGTAATGTGAGGAGTATCTAATGACAAGCATCACATGAATAGTGATGCCTGGCAGTATGTAGTAGTCAAATGCCAAATGTAGGAAAAGTAACTCAATCTGAGGAAGTCTACAAAATGATTGCTAAATGACACATCATGTTCTGCTTATCACAAAAAGAGACTGTGTGTACTTAAAACATGGTTGATTTTTGTCCCTGAAATGGTCCAATCAAATGCTTTTTATGACAAGCATTTGATTGGACCAGGCGAGGTAATCAGTGACATTGGATAGGGGGTGCGGTGGGGTGACAAACAATGTGGAGAGCTTCACTTGGCACGTTGTAATTAATTTTCTTCCCTTACTTTAAAGGTCTTCAGGGCGTAAGGGGGGAATAACACCAAATTGCTAAGGATCAATAAAAAAAAAGTTAAAAAGGTTTGGAGTAACCCTATAAGAAATAAATATGTATTCTGTACAAGTTTATTTCAGTCTGGGCATGATCCCTGGCATATCATGCAAATTCCATGATTATTTGCAAATTAGTACAGAGACATAAAAGGAAAGCAAAGCTGCTTTTGCCACTTTGCATATTGACGCATATAGTACTGTTAAAATGTATGTAGGAAATGGGCACATTATTTAACTGCAATCCAACAGCAGACACTTTAGGAAACAGTTGTTTTAACTGTCCCAGTAGGCACCCAGACCACTTCAGCTAATTGAAGTGGTCTAGGTGCTGTGTCCCTATTGCACTTAGTGCTGCAATGTAAAACATTGCCTTTCCAGAGAACTGCAATGTTTACATTGCAGCTCTAAGTTTAAGTCTACCAGACAGCCACTGGGGGAGCTTTGGAAACGTTCTGCATGAGGACTTCCAGCATTAGATTTTCCCCACAGGAAAGCATTAGGTCTCCCCCGCCGGCAGAAGTTGGCAGAGGAGGAGCGTCTGCGGAGCCTGACCCAGCATCGAGGGACATAGGCCCTGGATTCAGGTAAGTGGGTGAAGGGGTTGTAAAGAACCTCATGTACTTTGTGAAGTACGTTCGTTTGCACCCTCCCGAAATGCTAGAGGTTTAGTGATTATAGTCCGTTCGCATAGTACGCTGGTTAGTACTATCCCGAAATCCAAGCAGGTTGTGAGAATAAATTAATCGGTTCATCGGTCACATACTCAAACATTAGTCAAGACTTGATGAATGGTACAACTGGAATGTTTTATTATGGCCAGGTGGCCCACTTATATAGACAGAACCCCAGCATGGGGTCTCAAGCAAGGACATAGTATAACACTCCCACAACATGCCCAAGACATTCCCAGGCCTCAGTGTCTGGGAGATAATTTAGTGTACTTTGCTTAAACTAATTATCTCCCAGGCACTAGAGGTACAAATCATAAAACATAAAATACCCCAAATACATATAACACATAGATGAACCCCCACAAATATTCTACCCCAGATAGCCTGGATCTGAGCGCCTAACATATCCAAATAGCGCTCAGATCCTACGAATATAACCGAATCGCCCCCAGGGTAAAGTTTTGACTTTTTGGGAGTTCCAAAATGAACAAAAAAAACCAAACTGTTCCCCTGTTTATAGGTAGCGATTCTTCGCCTTGTTCATGCGAACAATCCTACCGAACTGCGCTCTCCTGGCTTGTCGTGGAAAGAAGCAAGTGTTCGTGTGAAATTACAGGTGATCGCAAGTCAAGTGTTCAACTTATAGTTCCAGACACTTGATGACCAATAGAGATGTCGCGAACTTCCCGCGAACGGCTCGCCGCGAGCTCCGGTCAGCTGACACATCCCGGCCAATCTCCAGCAGACCCTCCCTCCCAGACCCTCCCACCTCCTGGACAGCATCCATGTTGAAGCTGCCTTCGTGGCGAACCGTGGCGAGCCCTTCGTGGGAAGTTCGCGAACGGTTCGCGACATCACTAATGACCAAGTCCCGCTGCCTACTTTCGTGTGACAAGATGGCCGCCGTTTTCTCCAGCACGTGTTGTTTGGTTATACGAATGGTGGCCAAAACAGAAAGAGCACTTGAGTTAGTTTATTTGGAGCTAATGAACCAAGGGGTGGTCCCATCTACCGAACACAGGGAATTTAACTGGGTGAATAAAAATACAGAGTTTGTCACATGGGGTTTAACCCCTTCAGCCCCTCAGGAGGGGAGGGCGCAATGGAGGGGGGCTCCTTAGGAACCTATAGAGCCAGGAAAACAGCCTTTAAATCGGTGTTATTTACTGAAGTGAGAATTGCTGGAATCCAAATAGAATTTCAAAATTTAAGGCCAAAGTAGATAAACTGGAAAAACTATCCCAAATCAACTAGGTTTCCAGCACAAACACACACACTAAATTAACATTTTAAACTTTTTACCACCCTGAAGTCAATGAGGATTGTTCACTTAAGCGAGAATTGTTATCAATTTAAAGTGAATTTCAAGTTTAAAGTATGACTATAGTGTTTGGAATAGAAAAACTGTCCCTAACTTTATAAGTCTGTCCACCACCATCCGATGATTGAAGTGTTAAAAACCCTCTTCCCATAACCAATGCTCTGCTATGGGGAACATAGCAGATGTTAGATGTCCTAATGCTAAGCGAGATGACGTCCAAGGTCCATGAGTGAACCGGAAGTGCTAACAGCCAAGAGAGGAGGTTGAGTTAACACTGCAATGTAATCACTGCAGTTTATCAGAACATGTTTTACATTGCAGAGTTAAACAAAGAGGGACACTGCACCTAGACTCCTTCAATGAGATGAAGTGGTCTGGGTGCCTATAGTGTCACTTTAAGGGCTAAATTGGAAGCATAGATAACTTGAGACAATTCTCACTTCAGTGACACACTTTGAAATAACATAAATTTGAAAGCTAGCCTTGTGCACAAATCAAATTTCTGTTCAAAATACTTCTGTTTAAATAGCGCAAAAACTTATATCAGCATCTCCAATAAATCTGACATACAGCATTTCTGGGCTCCTAGCAACTACACACCATGGACATCTACACGTTTCATTCGAAAGGCAATTTGTCAGTTCCAGTTAAGTTAGAACCATTCTACCCTCCTGACGATATAGAGATATTACAGGTTAATTGATTAAAAAGTCATGCAGCAATGACTTTGTAATTTTAAATCAATTGCCTACATTGGTAAATATAGAATACTATTTGCAATTTTAAAAATGTAAAATAAATGAATAAAAAAAAATTTATAAAACCAGTAAACAACCTTACCAATACACATATATTGAAAAAACAATTCTAAATACCACCAGTTTATTAAGTTTACAATATAGTAACATCACTCAGTTTATACTTTGTATGAACTATAGAGAAAACCATTCTTTCTACATGTCACTATATTTATGAAATAAATAACATCTTTCAAATTGCAACAAAATGTATACTAAATGATAGTTTCCCCTTCCTATTCAAAGTATAACAGTTAAACATATAGGTATTAGAAGATGAAAAGAGCAATTATAAAGAACAAACAAAACAAAAACAAAAATTTTTTAAAAATAAAATACAAAACAAAAAGCCCCTTGATCAGCCATAATCAGTATAGGAAGGAAATGTCTCATGCCACATTCAGAGCCCTGGTAACCGAGGTAAATAGCCAAAAAAATGCATCTGCCTCATGCCATAGCAGAGATTAGGACACTGATTGGCTGAGAGCACTCAGGTGATGCTACCCCATTACATGGCTCTGATATTTTATTATTGCAGGTAGTTGGGGGACTAAGCCATTTAGAAGTGGTGCGGATGCCAGTGCTGGGTGACGCCAGACACCATAATCACTTTAATCAGTAGAAGTGGCTATGGTGCCTACAGTGTACCTTTTAATCAATTCTGCTATTCACAAAAGACAAAATTATGTATTTCAATCACATTTGCACTTCTATTCAGTTTCAGTTTAAAAGTCAGGCAAATCTCCATATAACATAGGTGATTCAACCATTCATTTGTTCCAATTCCCCAGATACTAACCAGGAGAAACTGGAACTACAATTCAAAGCTCTGTGAAATTGCTGCTTAAGGCTACATACACCAAACATCACTTCTCATGAGAGAGACATTTTAGTACATGAACATATTTCAGAAACATTTCATACCTCCTCCATGATGCACCACTAGCTTCTGCTTTAACACAGGTGAGTTAATCAGTATAGCACTATGTTTCATTAACACACCTTTGCAGAGTTAGGAATAAATGTGCACCTCTTAATAGGGCTGTCCAGAGGGGAATGTTGAAAATGACTGCTCTAAGTGCTTGGAGACAGCATTTTGAGAACAGAAAAACTTCTCTACTGTGTTTTCACCATCGCTGTCATTATTTTTGTTAACGTGTTTCCTACCAACAATCCCAGGTTAAGTGAGACAGTCCTGAATTTGTGATCCTGTCCTGCTTCTATGGAGGCTTGAAAAAAAATTGGAAAATATTTTCATTTGAGCTATTTTGGCCTAAAATTTTAAATTTACTTTCAATATTATTCAATAAACTCTGAATTGTACCAAACATTAAAATTTGAATTGCAAAAACGGAGGCAAAAATAACAGATTTGGGATATTTCTCGAACTATGTTTTAGGCAGAGGTTTGCTATTTTATCATTTGGTTTTGAATTTAAATTTGAATTCAGTAGAATTCGGAGTTGGTGAATAACCCTGACTGATTTTAGTTGATCTCCTGGCAATACACTCTTCAGTGAATAACATTTTATGATCTATAAAGAGACATTTTATTAGTATGAGCGAAGCGTTATTCTCCTTACAATATAAAAATATACAAATTCCTTGTTCCATATGATCACTGATTTTCCAACTATTAATAAAAAATAAAAAAAAGATATTCCGTTTGCTGAGCAAGACACAGGTCGTCTCTGTCAGACTCTACAAGGCTCTCACCACTGTGACTGTAATTTTCCACATGATCGTCATGGAATCTAATTTGAAGCCCTGTTTTCTATGGGTTCCGAGACTAAACAGTCGCTTAGTGTCTAAACCTGTATAAACCCAGAGACGCAGTTTGGAGAGATTTATTTACCAGCTCCTGCTTATCCTTAACATCTGTGTGGCATTAAAGGCTTCATGGGTGTGTTTAGGAAGGCAGCTGGGTTGCCAGATCACCTACTGGGTTCTTTAAAGTGTTAAATAAACACTCCAGACATATAAAGCACTTCAGCTTCATGAGAGTCAGTTATTTTCCTCAATAGGAATCGCAACTTTTAGAATTGGGAGCAGAAACACCTCCCCGGCTGTCGCCCTACTTTTTGGAGCTAACAGAAGTAGCAGGCACACTGGGCTAGATTGCATCGGCCTTCTCAATGAGCTGTACTATAGTTCATATTAGTGCAAAACCGGGTACATTTTTGTGGGAATCTTGCACGTTTATTGACTAAAGGGTAACTTGTCAGGACTTTAAGGCGTATTTTAGGTCACAACAGCTGAATTGGAAAAATTCTGATGTATATTACATTTCAGTTTGGCAATTGTCTACAATTATTGTTGTTATTATTATTTTATTATTTATATAGCGCCAGCAAATTCCGTGGCTCTGTACAATGGGTTTATCATTTGAAATTCATATTCACATTCAAGAGCATTTCCCTCTTTAGTGAACAATCCCATGTGTAGGCCGTCTGGTGGGCAGGACTTTCAAGCCCTGAATGACAGAATGTAGAATTCATGAGCATACCATGATAAACGTGCAGTTTTTAATCATTTGAATCAAATGTAATTGAAGGTTGAAATGCGGTGAGCTTAAGAGAACTTAAAAAAAAATATCACTGCAGGTAGATTTGGCTCCTGCAGGTGCTGTCCAGAAAGATTAATGAGATATATCTATCATTGTGATGAAAGGATCAATAGTTATTCATTGCAGTCTCGAAGTAGATAAGTACATTATGCCATAGTTATGGTGGCCAAATTCTCTATATGCATGTAACTCATTAATATTGATTGTCAGGAAATGGAAAGTGCTTCCCTGCAGTATGTAGAGTTCAGGGAATGGCTGGATACATTTTGCTGGGGAGGCGCAGACTAAAACGAAAGGCCTTTTTTGTGGCATAAAATTCAAAGATCCTTTGGTGGATGGTCCTACTCACCTAGAGCATGAATTAATATATGGATTTAACAGATGGAGGCTCCTAGAACCACTAGGTATGACATCACATATCCCAGCAATGTCACTATGACCTGCACAGCACGGAGGAGCATTCACAGATATTTGTGAGTGCTTAAGAGACGCTGTGCTGCTTAATGCAACTCCACTGCTACCAATGAAAAAGTGTATTATGAAAGCGCTGTCTCACCTTGGTCACTTGGAAACACCTCCTGGGTAGGTCATAGATGCTCATTATAGTCTGGCAGCTGGGTCAGCCCCAAATACTGAAGTCTGCTTACCAATTTCCCAGTTGAATAGCCCATGCCTGGAAATACTGACATTGGGGATGATCAATGCAAGCACGATCCAGAAGGACAGTACCAACAGGCATCAATGGACCTCCTGTTGCCCTAAAGCAGTGCTGTCACCATTTGGGGGCTTCGCTGAATTTGCAAAGACGCTTAATGGTGACATCGCCGCTGGGGGAAACCGGTAAGGAGAGATTTACTTACCTGAATCTGTCCCTCGAGGGTGCTGCAATCTTTCAGGGTTTGTTCCTTTTAAATTTCTGGTGCTCTCCATGCGTGAGAGTACAGCATTAGGATCTATGAAGGATCCTGCAACACCGTAGGATCCTCCATAGACACAGCCAATTCCCTGTAGCCGACAATGGTGACTGCTGTTGGGACTGACACTTAATTTGAGTCTTAAATTGAGTCTAAGAAACTCAGGCAGATGAAAAAATACAGTGACAAAGGAGTCCCTAGTCTCTGTATATCTCTTGACTGGTTGGAATTTCAGTAAAATTCTTCTAAATTCTTCAGTAAAATTCTTCTAAAGTAATAGCCTAGACAACTCTTATAAGCTCTGGTTAATGTTAGAAAGAAAATATAAATCGTAATAAAATACAGGCACTTATTTTGAATAAAACAAAAAGTACTCCAGCTTCAGGGGGATGACACATTCAGATAATATGACTCAAATAGATTATGTTTAAAAAGCATTCAGTTCCACCCATGTGACTCTTCTTGTTTCTCTTTTAGATGGGTATCTGTAGAACTCAGCATGTAGTTCAAGATTACTGAACTACTACTTTGGATGTACATTGAGAGATTGATGGTGTCTGTGACTCCTGCTACCTCACCTAATCAATGATAAGGGGCTGAGGATGAAGAATGCCCATTGCTACGAAACTATCCTACATCAGCCAAGAAGACTTATCAATGCCTTGTTATGACTCATGCCTTCCCTTAGCAGATATTACCAAACCAAGCACCCAAAAACCTGACCACCTGGGATCCTATCTCAGCATGCGAGGTCCTCTGGAGAAACCTACCAACCCAGGCCAGAACATAGAACTAGTCATCGGTTTAGTCCTCAGCCGCAGTGGTCAATACTTTAAAAGGTTGGCGATCAGGGTTTAGCTATCCGGGATACCTGATATGTGGGGTTTTTTTTTTTTTACAACTTGAAGTTTATTCGTGTTTTGGTTTAGTCAATCACATATCACAAAACAATATGGGTGGGGTAAGGGGGTACAAAAGATAAAGGGAGGGGTGCAGGGTACAAGTTGCATGTTACAGCGGTTGGTTTGTTAACTCTATTACACATTTTACACTTTTTACACTTTTTGATGCGTCAAATAGCCCCTTCATGTTTTTGTTGTGAGTTTTACCCTTGTTTTGGTCTGTTTTAGTTTCGGGTACTAGAGTCTGTTTGGGTGAAGGTATTTTGTTGCGTACATGGCCAGATTACTAATTGCCTCGTTTCCCGGTGGCGTTTGTGCCTTGTTATTTGGTAGCGGTTATACTTTTTTTTTTTTCTCTTCCCCCCTCTCCTGCGATTACATGTTGGTGCTCGATACTTCGCTATGTATCCTTTACTGTGTGGTGCGTTCAGCATTCCCCGGCATGGATGAGTGGAAGGGGGACGGGGGGGGACGAGGGGGCTGGTATTGTATCTTGGTACTCATTTGCGGGTTTTTTGCCTTTTTCCCACATCTCGTGGGCTTCCCTTATACTCGGGCGGGTTCCGAATTGTGTCGTTGCCATTAACTCATAAGACCAATTAAGGTCCATTTGCCTCATCAACTCGGCTATTGATGGTGTTGTGGTTTGTTTCCATAGCCTGGATATCAGCAAGTTCGCTGATATTAAAGTGTGGTATATAATGATTTTAAGATGTTTTGGGATGTTGGTTGGTAGCATGAATAATAGGCATTCTTGTGGTGTGTCCACCCTTATATTATGCATTATGTCGTTCAGGAGTGTGGACACCGCTTCCCAAAATGGGCTTATTTTGTCACAGGACCACCAGATGTGAAGCATTGTGCCTACCTCCCCCCCGCACCTCCAGCACTTGTTACTTGTGTGCGGCCATATTGCATGTAGTTTTGCGGGCACTAAGTACCATCGGTACATAATTTTGCGCTGCAGTTCCAAATGCGATGCGCACGCTGTTAGTCCTCTGTGGACCGAGTAGGACCTCTCCCAGATTTCCCTTGGGAATGTCTGACCTATTTCCCTGTGCCAGTCTTTCTTGATCTGTTCTAGTGTATGCGTTTGTGTTAAGGTTAACTTATGGTATCCCCATGACATTGATTTCTTTAGTGGTGCTATTCCTACACATTGTTGTTCAAAAACTGTCATGGTAGCTTCGTCTTCTATACCCGGTTGTTTGCTTAGTTTGCCTGTTATATATGATTTGAGCTGCAGGTAGGAAAATGTGATTGTGGTGGGCAGTGTGTATTCCGTTTGTATATCTGGTAGTGTTTTCAGTTTGCCTCTGTCAATGACCTGGTATATGTGGTGTATTCCCCCTCTCTTCCAGGCGTCTTCGCGGAATGTAGGTATTTCCATGCCTATTGTTTGTATTGGTGTGGCCAGGGGTAATTTGGGATTGGACACCAAATTGTTTCTCATTGTGTTCCATACCCTCATCAAGTTCTGTGTGCTGGGTAGCAGGTTTTCTCTTATGTGTTTGGGACACTTCTGTAGCCATAGTACCGCCCTGAGGTTGTGTTGTGGGGCCCAGTGGGATTCTATTGCTACCCACTGCGGGGCTTGGGCCGGGCGGTTAATTTGGGCTATGTTGTGTAGATAAGCTGCTCTACAGTACGTTGTTAGGTTTGGCAGACCCAGCCCACCTTTGCTCACTGTTTGGTGTAGTGTTCCTGCTGCTACTCGTACCTTTTTCCCTTCCCAGACGAATGTGTTTAATGAGTGTTGTACGCTTTTTAGAAACCGTTTCGGGACGGGTATTTGTAGTGTTCTAAATAGGTACTGGATTTTAGGTATGAGTGTCATCTTTACCGCTGCTATGCGGCCTGTCCACGAAATAAATTTACCTCTCCATTTTTGTATGGGGTCTATGATTTCTGTTTGTATGCGCTCGTAGTTTAGTTTAAAAAGGTGTGCCGGGTTTTTAGATAACTTAAGTCCCAGAAACGTCAAGTAGTCGTTTCTCCAGTCCAGCGGGAATGCCGTCTGTAACCTGCCCAACAGGTCCGCATTAAGTCCCATCCCTAGGGCTTGCGTCTTGGTGATATTCAGCTTGTAGTACGAGACCTCCCCATATTCACGTATTTGTGTCATTAAATTTGGCAGGGATGTGAGGGGGTGTGTGATCGTTACAAGGATGTCGTCTGCAAAAAGGTTGAGTGTATACTCTCTGTCTCCCAGGGTTATACCCTTTATGGAACGGTTTGCTCTTATCGCTGCTGCCAGTGGCTCCAGCGCTAGGATGTACAATAGCGGGGATAGGGGGCAACCCTGTCGAGAGCCATTGGTTATTGTGATTTGCTTAGATATAAACCCTGCATTGAGTACTCTAGCTGTGGGGTGGGAGTACAATGCCTGCACTGCCCTCAAGAACCCCTAGGGGAACTTGTATTTTTGGAGTACAGCTTGCAGGAAAGACCAGTTTAGACGGTCAAATGCCTTTTCCGCATCCAGGGATAGGAGGACCCCCCCCCCCGGCTACGGAGTAAGCACTGCATTAGGTCCACTACTTTTCTTGTATTGTCCGACCCTTGTCGCCCAGTGGTGAAGCCCACTTGATCGTCATGTATTAATGTGGGGATGATGTGGGTCAGTCTAGTGGCTAGGATTTTAGCATATAGTTTAGTGTCAATGTTGAGCAGTGAAATTGGTCTAAAGTTTTGACTGCAGGTGGGGTTTTTTCCCGGTTTGGGTAAAGTGACTATGTGGGCCCCCAGCATTTCCGCTGGCGCCTCTCCTTTTTGGGTTGCTGCGTTAAACAGGTGTGCCAGGTGGGGCACTAGTATTCCCGCATATTTTTTATAATATGTGTTCGTAAGACCGTCAGGGCCGGGTGCTTTCCCAGGGGGTAAGCGTGTGATGGCTTGCAGGACTTCCGTTGTGGTGATGGGGACTTGTAGGGATTCTATTTGCTCCTCCGATAGAGAGGGTAGGGTTATGTTGTCCAAGTAGCGCTCTATGTGTCCAGGAGTTGGATGTGTTGTGTTAGGGTCTTGCTCTAGATTGTACAGTGTCGTGTAGTAATCGGCAAAAATGTCGCTTATTTCTTTTGGTGTCACTTTTTTTTCCCCGTGTGGGTTCAGCAGGTATGGGATTTTTGCCTTTATGCTTTGTTGTGTTAGTCGTCTGGCTAAAAGTTTGCTTGCCCTGTTTTCCTGCGTGTATTGTGTTGCTTTGAGTTTCCTAAGGCTAAATCCCATCTTCGCCAGGTCATGTGTCTTGATTTCCTCTAACTTTTCTTGTATTTGTGTTTTTAACAGCGGTGTTGGGGTCAATTGGTTTTGTTTATTAAGGCGGTAGAGGGCTGTCAAGTGTTCCTTTAGTTTTGCTTGTGATTTCTGCTTTAACGCGCTGGTTTTCCCTATGATCAGTCCTCTGATTACTGGTTTATGTGCTAGCCATAGGGTTTCAGGGGAGGTGTCTGGGTGCGTGTTTGTCTTAAAGTACTGCTTAATATCTTCGGTTAATTGCTCGCCGAAATGCTCGTTGTGTAGTATCGATTCATTGAGCCGCCAGGGGCTGCGATGCTTATATTCATAAGCGTCATGTAGTTCTAAGGTGACAGGGGCGTGGTCTGACCACGTGATGGTGCCTATGGAGCAATCCTTTAGTTGGTTGAGGAATGTGCCTTTTATGTAAAACCCATCTATGCGTGAGTAAGTGTTGTGCACTTGGGAGAAGAAAGTGAAGTCTCTCTCCTCCGGGTGCAGCACTCTCCATGCATCATACAAATCGTGCTCACTCATCAGTCGTGTTAGAGGTTTGCATTCCCGCGTCAGTGTTGCCGCTCTAGGTGTGTGGATCGGGACCGATGTGTCCCGTCGTGGGTCCAGAATATGATTCATGTCCCCACATATGAAAGTGATTCCCCTTTGTAGGTGTGCTAGCTGTGTGAGCAGTTTATGTAAGAAGTTTCTTTGGTTCGTGTTTGGTGCGTATATGTTGATTATCGTATATTCCGCGTTGTTGATTTCGCAGACCAGTATTATGTATCTTTATTGTCTACGTGTTCATATATCAGCTTAAAGGACACATCCTTACTGATTAGGACTGACACCCCCCTTGATTTGGACGTATAGGTGCTATGGTACTGCGTGGGGAAGTATGCCTGCGCTATGGTCGTCGTCTGCTTGAGGTGGGTTTCTTGTAGGCATACAACATCTGGGCGTACTCTGCGCAGATCCCGGACTAGGCAGTGTCTTTTGACTGGGATGTTTAACCCTTTTACGTTATGGCAATATATTTTCATGTTTTATGGAGTGTATTGCTGTTTGGTAATGCGGACCTATATCTGGTGGGGTTCTCCCTGTATTCCTTCCTACTCTCCCGTTAGCCCTGAGACTGCACTTTTGCGTCGTGTCTTTGCTGCCCCTGGTCCAGTCGGCCGACTGGATTTCCTGCGGTTTCCCCTGCGTGCGTGTATTCCCTCTTTGCTGCCCATGCTCTTCAACTTTGTTCAGTACCCTGGGTTTTGGTACCCTACTGGTGGGGGTGGGATGGGTGGGGTGGGTTGGACGGTGGTGAACACTAATGTAACAGGTGTTCATAACATACAAATGAAGCATTACATCAATCAACATATATACAAGAACAATAACAATTATTTGCATTTCCCAATGTAGGGTTAGGCACCAGCTAAATAGTGCCGTGTGTGGACGTGGTTGTCTTGTGTGTTTCTGAGGGTAAAGGTTTATGTGTGAGCTTGCTGAGCCCGATATTTGCTGTCGTGTTTCTTTAGGCAGCTGTATTTTAACTGCCCTGGTGTAGGGCCTGGTAATGCCTAATTATGGTGTGCATCATAATGGCAGTATACTTCTCCTTTCGTGGGATTTTTTTTTTTGCGCGCAACACATGTGTATCTCTTTCCTGTCCTGAGTGGTGTGCTTTGGAATATCTCTGCCCTCTCGTTGGGCAAAAGTGTTTTTTTTTTCCCCCCCGTGTTTGTTCCCTGTCGTCTGCGTGTCTGTCGTGTGTGCGTGATTATCTGGCATTGTGTATACAACTCCGTGGTGTGGTGCAATGTCTATTATACTTGCGGCCGAGTGGTTGCCCGTCCGTGGCCGGGACTGCGGACTATTGTACTTCACAGTCTTTATTTTAACTGTTCAGTTCATTTCTTGGTTCTTTTCCATTCCGGGGATAGCATGGCTGGTGCGGCCATGTTCTTCCCCACTGGGTTCACTGGGATGTTCCAGGTGCGCAGGAGTCTCCGTCCCTCTTCAGGTGTGTTGGCTGTCGTCACCGTACCATTTCTCCGTATCAGCAGACGGATCGGATATCCCCATCTGTATTGGACGTTGTTCTGGCGCAGTGCTTCCGTGACGTCTTTAAATTCTTTTCTCTTTTGCAGTGTGGCTGCCGACAGGTCTGTGAAGAGTTTGATGTGTTTGTATTTCTGTGGCAGATCGCGACCCCCTCTCGTAGCTTGGAGTAGTGCCTCCTTCACGAGGAAGTAGTGTAGGTGTGTGAGCACATCCCTAGGGGTGTCTTGCGGTAGGAACGTTGGCTTCTGTACTCTGTGGTATCTGTCTAGGAGCAGTACCTCTGCAGGTAAATCTGGCGCCAATTCTTTAAAATATCCGATCAGGAATGCATGCAGGTCTGGCTGCTTCACCTCTTCTGGGATACCCCGGAGCCGCAGGTTCTGGCGTCTAGAGCGGTCCTCCAGGTCCATGACCTTGCGCTGTGTGTATTCCAGTTGCTGTTGCATATGCTGCACTTGGTCTGCCACATCATTGTGTGCAGCAGTCTGATCTTCCATCTTTTGTTCCACGTGTGTCATCCGATCTTCCAGCTCCTGCACATCTCTGCGGAGCTCTTTCAGAGTGCTCTGTAAGGAGGTTAGGATCTTGGTGGACATATCCTCCAGGCAGTTTTGCAAAAAATCTTGTGTGACCGGTAGATTTTGCGGCCCAGGGGAGTACTGTAGTGGCACTGTGTCGTTCCCGCCGTCGCCATCTTGGTCTCCGTCTGTGAGGCCTGCGGCTTTAGGCGTCGACGCTCTGGCTGCAAAAAAGACGGAACGGTCCGCTTTTTTGCCCTGCTTCTTCTTGGTTGTGTTGGCCATGTTGCCAGGTCGCAGGTGGGTCTTTGGGAGCTGATTAATGCTTTTGTCTTCGCTTTGTCGGGCCAGCGTTATGCGGAGCTCAGATCCGAGCGACCATCCGCGTTGCTCGTTAGGCCACGCCCCCTGATATGTGGGGTTTAATGGTGGAGAAACCCCCTGCTGGGGGTCTGTGTGTAAATGTATGTGCTGTGAAAAAATAAAGCATTCTTATTTGATCAAGTCTTGACTGATATTTGGATGGGCGGCTATATCACTCTTGATATATATCACTCTGAAGAAAGACTTTGACGGAGATACTCTGGTTGTGTTTTGGAGCTCAACCACACCCATACACAGGGCCAGTGCATCCATAAGGCGGCACAGATGGCCGTCTTAGGGTGCACCGGCTATGGGGGTGCAAGATTTCAGTGACCAGCAGGAGGGAAGCGCTCCCTCCTGCCAGACCACCTTCTGGACCCCCGGTGCGGCTGTGTTCTAATCAGACGCGGTGAAGGAGCTCTAACCTCTCTGCTCTGCCCCCTCGCGCGATGCCCCCGGCATCAGTAGACAGCCCTTGCCGCGTCTGATTAGAACACAGCTGCCTGCTGCAGTTAAGCCCCACTGGACCCCAGGACAGATCCAGGCCAGCTCTCCAGGTAGGGAGGCTGGGTGGACATTTAATATTAAAGGGACACTCCAGTGACAGGAAAACAAATCATTTTCCTGGCACTGCAGGTCCCCTCTCCCTCCCACCCCCCATCCCATGTTGCTGAAGGGGTATAAACCCCTCAGTGACTTACCTGAGACCACCGCCGATGTCCCTCGGTGGTGGTTTAGGGTCCACCCACGCTCCTCCCCCGCTGACGTCAGCTGGTGGGGGAGACCGATTGCACATGCATGGCCGCGGTCGGGATGAGACCTAATGCGCATGCACATTAGACCTCCCCATAGGAAAGCATTGAAAATGCTTTCAATGCTTTCCTATGGGGATTTTAGCGACGCTGAAGGTCCTCACATAGCGTGAGGACATCCAGCGACGCTATAGCACGGACCAGGAAGAGCCCTCTAGTGGCTGTCTAGTAGACAGCCACTAGAGGAGGAGTTAACCCTGCAATGTAAATATTGCAGTTTATAAAAGTTTATTGCAATATTTACAGTTTCAGGGTAAAGGGTAGTGGGAGTTGGCACCCAGACCACTCCAATGGGCAGAAGTGGTCTGGGTGCCCTGAGTGTCCCTTTTTTGTGTCTATAAGTGTGTGTGTGTGTGTGTGTGTGTGTGTGTGTAAGTGTATGTGTGAGAATGTGTGTGTCTGTAAGTATATGTGTGTGTGTATTTGTCTGTGAGCGTGTGTATGTGTTTGTCTGTGAGTGTGTGTGTCTGTAAGTGTATGTGTGAGTGATTATATGAATGTGTGTGCATGTGAGTGTATGAGTGTGTGTCTGTCAGTGTGTGTTTGTGAGTGTCTGTCAAATCAGTGAGAGTATGTTTGTCATTGAGTCTGCGTGTCACTATCAGTGTGTCTGTCAATCAGTGTGTGTATGTCAGTGTGTGCGTATGTGTGTCAATGAATGAGTGTGTGTCAGATCAGTGAGTCTGTGTCTGTCAGTGACGCCTGTGTGTTTGTCATTGAGTGTGTGTGACTGTTAGTGTGTATACACCACTGAGTGTAGCGTGGCGGAACGGAGCACGGTACAGGACCATCTGTTTCCTGTACCTGGCCAGACTGACAGAAGGTGCTCACTGAGAGAGCACTTCCTGCCAGTCCAGCCAGGTACAGAAAACTTAAGCCCCTGTAGAGGATCTGCTCCGCTCTGCAACGCTACAAGAGAGGTAGGAGGCACACCAGGAAGGGGTGTGTGACCACTAAGGGGGTGGGGGTGCACTAAGGGACAGGGAGGGGAGAGAAACACCAGGGGACAGAATAAAGAGGGGAGGGGACCACTAATGGACGGGGAGGGGAGAGGGGCTGGTTAAGAGGCACATAGGTGAAGATGTTATTTTTAGAAGGGGGGGGGGGCGTAAAAATGCATCTTTGTCTAGGTACCCAAAAATGCTTGCACTGGCCCTGCCCATACATTGTGTGGCATATCCAACTTACAGTGGGAGTTAGGAAATTTAGACAGGATGAGAAGATCTATGTCCTGGGTGGGTGTCCCAGTCCTTGCTATATGCATCACACACAGGGGCAAAGAAGCAGGACTGCCATGGCATGAATTTTGGAATTTGGTGTTCAATTCACAACACTTCACAGTTTAGTGTATAAATCCCTTAATTTTTTACTTTCTTAAATCCAGTGTTGGATTTTTATTTCCCCATAATGCAACGAACATTACAGATTTAGATTTTTATTGGCTGAGCATGATAGAATTTGTAATCCACCATGGATGTCCTGAGTGCCCTACTCCCACAGCAAAGGCGTTGATTAACAATGCTGTGTAAAAATAAATGAGGTCAAGGAGACAATGCATAGTTGACGTACAAAGATTATCACTAATAGGGCGGGAGGAAGGCGTTGCTGTTCCTGTGTAAATAATGGGGCTCTGAGAGAAAAGGTTACCTTGCAATAAATAGCATTTAAAGGAACACTACAGACAGCTGGGCCATGCAGGGCAATGCTCATTGGCTGAGAGCACTCAGTTGACAAACTCAGCTAATGAGCCAGCCCTGTGTGGAAGCTAATGGAAGCACCACCTCAGATAAGCTTTATTTAATGCTGGATCATAGAGGGGACCAAGTAAGGAAGATGTATATCATTAATGGGTTTATATTATACTTCAAAGGGGATCTAATATCATATCAATCCTCAAAGTGTTTGCAAAAAAATTGACATCTCATTAATTACACTTCCTAACTGAGATATTCAAGCAATGCAGGACCACAAATGTAATTTAATTTAATTATATTATATTCATCTCCTTGATCCATCAAATTAACTTATACTTGCTTTAGTAGTAGCTTATCATAAGGGGTCATGAAGAGACTTTCCTACCAGATGCTTAAACTTCTTTCAGTAATCTATCTCCATGTTAAAGGGACACTATAGTCACCAGAACAACTACAGCTTATTGCATTTGTTCTGGTGATTAAATAAGTCTCTGCAGGCCTTTTGCTGTTAACATTGTCTTTTCAGTGACATCTCCACTGGCCACTCCTCAGATGGCTACTAGAGGTGCTTCCTGGGGCAGTGCTGCACACTGCAGTACTGACATTCAGTGTCTCCACTCTCTGCATGGAGACACTGAACTGTCCTCATACAGATGCATTGATTTAAGGTTTGTATTCCTAAACCTTTAGTGTTTTTTTTAAAATTTGAATTCTCATTTTTTTGAATAACCCTACTAAGGCTCACTTGGAAATAGAATTCAAGTCCATTCTAGTCACAGCGTTGACAGATTTTGGCCTGCTTTTTGCAATTCATTTTTTAATCATTCTCTTGTTTAGTGAATAAACTCCTGTGTGTTACACTATGTAACCTATATAAAAAAAAAATGGCCAAACTGAAAACTTAAAGGGACATTCCAGAAACCAAAAGTACTTTAGCTTGCTGGAAAACTTTATTTGTAAAGAGTGTGACCTATTTTTTAATTTTGGAATAAGTGCAGATTCCAATAGAAATTGACACATTTATCATTATTCTGGTTACACCCCTTGGTTTTTCAAGCAGACAACAGGTCCTGTTACTTCCTGGTTTGGTTAGCTTATTTGCACTGAACTCAAGAGGCAGCAATTTCTCAGGGCACCTGCCTTGCAAAGACTTCTCATTGAGCTGCATTTAGGACACAGAAAGTCCAGGTGGGGCTAGAAGCTTGTAAAGGCAGCAGACAAGAGAACTGCATTTTTTGCAAGCAATTGTTAGACTCCAATATAATAAAATGCATTATTAAATGCATTCAAGTTTTCATTTAGAGTATATCTACGAAACAGTGATTTTTAAATGTATTTTGCATTTGGGCAGTGAAGCATCCCTTTAACGGAATGGTCCCGTTTGGCTATTCTGGCCTAAAATTTGAAATTCACTTTGAGTGCCTAGGTATTCAAAGAAGTATAAAAGAACTATAGTGAACTGGAAACCAAATTGTAAATTTTTGCCTGGTTGTTGTGGCTAAATTGAAGATTTTCTCCCAATTCAGCAATTTTTGTTTAAATATTCTGGGTAAGTTAGAATACCGCTTGGTACCTCCCCTGCCTGGAGAACCGTGCCATGTTCCGGTGGTCCAGCAATTTGCAGTCATATCAGGACCCTCCAGGACAAATCTGAAACATTGAAAACAATGAATATTGTTCCTTTATTACTTATAGTAAAAAGTGGCAAAGTATGTGAGCTTTCATATACATGCACACGATACACACATATGTACATGGCTATTTGTGAAGCTCTGAAATGTAGGGAGATTGAATGAGAACATTTAAAACAACGAAGCTGTCACTTTAAGAGAGTTTGCAAATTTTTCCAAATAAGCAATTTTTGTCTAAAAGCTGCCATTGTGATTTAAATTTGCTACAATTCAGAGTTTAGTGAATAAACCCCATTTATAAAGATTTTATTAGTAGTATTTATCTCTGTGCCCTATACAGATAACTGGTTCGGCAGGAAATTCTGGTTTTGCATATTACTAATGAATGGTTTTCTCAGTGTGCAGCGAATGAAAGTTAAGAGGTTATTTTGTTGCCATGACAAGATTGTTAAGTAAATGAAATAGTACAGTGACCCTGGATTGGGGCCACGTCTCACCCTTCGAATAAAGTAACAAATACAGTGAACATTCGTTGCAGTGGAATTATGTCTGAACGTTCACCTGAATTTGACTTAAAGGGCCACTATAGTGCCAGGAAAACATACTCATTTTGCTGGCACTATAGTGCCCTGAGGCTCTGTAGAGAGGAAAGGGGTAAAACTTACCTTTTTTCCAGCGCCGGGCGGGGAGCTCTCCTCCTCCTCTCCGCCTCCGATCCTCCCATTCGGCTGAATGCGCACGCGCGGCAGGAGCTGTGCGTGCATTCAGCCAGTCTCATAGGAAAGCATTCATAATGCTTTCCTATGGACGCTTGCGTGTTCTCACTGTGATTTTCACAGTGAGAATCATGCAAGCGCCTCTAGCAGCTGTCAATGAGACAGCCGCTAGAGGATTTGGAGGCTGGATTAACCCATTTATAAACATAGTAGTTTCTCTGAAACTGCTATGTTTATAAAAAAAAATGGGTTAATCCTAGAGGGACCTGGCACCCAGACCACTTAATTAAGCTGAAGTGGTCTTGGTGCCTAGAGTGGTCCTTTAAGATGTGTGCCTTACTATGAAATGTCATACATTAAAGTTACCTAATCATTCACACATGTGTATGGTGAAAATGTCCCCTCTATATTAGCAAGAAAATTATATAACTACAGTTTATATAAAAGTTTGAATGAAGATCTTTCCTGAAATTAAATGTTTTTTGGTTTTTTTACACAGCGCTCAGTCCCCTTAATGCAGTGGTCATAATTTACCACTGCATTATGGGATTGCTCACTAAGCATTATGGGAGCATGCAGTTGCATGTGCACCAAAAAAATTGCAGTTTTCATTACTATGTCAACGGCTAATAAAATGTATACATAGTTTTATTGCTGTAGAGGTCAACGACACACTCATAAACGCTACACATTGTGATACACTCCTACAGGTTTTTACATTACTGTGATACACTCATACATACTGCATGTAACTGTGAGTTTTTTTTATTTGGAGTTTTGTGATACACTCATACACACTACTTAGTCTGAGCTCCAAGATAATAATAATAAAAAAGGTACCAGGGCAGAAAAACGTGCAAGGTTTTGATTATAAGAAGGCTCAGCTTCACCTATAGAGGAACATTTGAGAGGAATGTGGTATTCATATACCACCATTAGTGCTTAAATCAAGGAAATGTAAAATAAAAAATGATAATGCTCACAAAATTAGATTAATCTTTAAATGAACAATGGCTTAGGGTTCTGAATATGTGTCGTGTGTATACGATTATTTTATATACCAGTTTAGAGAACTATGGGAGCCTGTGACTCTGCCCCACAATTGGAGGGAGTAGGAGAGAGATCTACTTCCGAGAGCATTGAGCAAACCTCTTCCCTGCACTACTACTGGTCTGCTGTTGCGGACTCCATTAAATGAATAATGGGGTTTTCTGTTTTTGATATGACCAAGGTGGTAAAGAGGTAAAACAATGTTTTACAGGTGAATGGAGACAAAACAAGTCTCTGAAAGAATAAGGGAGGCAGAACAAGGCTATGTAGGTGGGAGCAGAAGTATAAGTAGAAGGGGTCACTGAGATTGTGAGTGCGACGGGGACCACTGTTCCACCTGTCATAGGGAGCTCTTGAGCTAGTGGATATCCACTAAGGCAGAGTATGCCCCTGCTTACCCAGACAGAAGGTTTCTACTCTGCCAAGTATTAAAGCAGACACTGGACCACAGGACGAGAACCCATTCCGGCTCTTCCAAAGGTAGGGAGGCTGGATGGGCCACCTCAAACCCACCCCCCCCCCAATAAATAAGATTATTTTGTCTGTATGAGACACTGTGTATATGTGTGTGTCAGCATCAGTGAGTTTGTGTCTGTCAGTGAGTGTCATATCAGTGAGAGTGTGTATTTGAGACGGTCAGCGACTGTGTCAAAACAGTGAGAGTGTGTGTCTGTCCGTGTATGTATCAACTTAGTGAGTGCGTCTGTCAGTAATTGTGTTTGTCAGTGTATTTGCATTTTAGAGTGTGTGTCTGTCAGTGAAAGTGTGTGTGCCATTGACTGTGTGTCGTGTCAGTAGGTGTACGTCAGTGTATGTGTATCAGTGAAAGCGTAAAGAGGACTTTTCTGATACTTGCACCGTGCTCTGTTATGCCTGAGGGTGGGAGAGAAGCCACATAAGACTCTACAGGTGAGAATGATGAATGGAGAAAGCACAAGGCTCTGCAAATTGAAAGGAGGCAGCAAAAGGCTCTGTACAAATAATGGAGGTAGCAAAGGCTCTACACGGGCAATGGAGGTGGTACAAGGCCTTATAGATGAAAAGATGGCAGAATGTGGCTTTAGTTAGAAAAGAGGCAGCATAATTCTTAGTAGGTGCAAAGTGGGCCACACAACGGTCAGCGGGTGAGAAAGAGAGCTGCACCGCAGGCGTAAATGTAATAGTGTAATGCCTTGCAGGTGGTTAGGTGGAAACTCGGAGTGTACATGGTTAAACAAGGACTAATTTGCTTGCATAATACTATGATCAATTGTATATGCAGTTTAATCTTTCCCTTTGTCCCCTTTACATTTTGAAGGAGAAAAATAAAAACTGTGACCATAGGGCTCTGAAAAAGTGAAACTTTTGCTTGAAATGTTGGAAGCTGCACAGTATGAGTGAAAGAGACAGTCACCTTTGAGCAGGTTAACTGGAAATCCTTTCTTCTGCTTTCAAGGTTCATAAATACACCTGACATGTGAGAAATGTGAATCAATATTAACTCTGAGGTTAATGGGTAACTGGTGCTCAGTCACATTTTTTCTGAATCTGCAAGTATTCCAATCACACCCTTTGCACACGAGGTGCACTGATACGTTACACACTGAATTA